GGATTGTCAGAGGCACCCTTTTGGTGTTTGCAAATAGCATTAATTTAGTCTTATCAGCATTGAGTATCAACTTTAGTTGCATGAATGTGTGCTGGACAACATCAAAAGCTCTCTGCAGAGATTCTATAGCTTTAGCAACAGTCAATCCAAAACAGTAAATAATTGTGTCATCGGCATAAAAATGCATATTAGCATCTGGCACATTYTGWCCCAAGTCATTAATGTACATAATGAACAGGAGGGGACCCAAGATTGAACCCTGTGGCACCCCCTTGTTGACACTCATAAAATCAGAACACGAACTATCATATTTAATACACTGAGTCCTGTCACTTAAATAATTTGAAAACCAGGAAACCACTTGATCTGACATTCCCAAACATAAAAGTCTGTACTTTAAGACAGCACGGTCCACAGTGTCAAAAGCTTTTGACAGATCAATAAAAAGAGATGCACAATTTGGATACTATCAATATTTAGATCGATACGCCCACCTGGCAGACAGTCCATCTTGTACCCCTCCCTTGATTGATGGCGATGTGTACCAGCTTCCTGCCACACTGAACAGGAACAGGCAGGCCCAGACCGTAGATGGATGTAACTATTTTTGCATGCACAAGAAGTGGGGAGTAAAAGTCTAAGAATTCCAACTTGCTCATTAGATGTGTGTATATATTTCCAACAGATAAAGTGAGACCTCCAGTTGCCTCATGGGTCCTTGTACTGTGTGTTTGTGAGGTCAGTAAACCCCAGCTGAGAATGGATGAGTGAATAGACAAAGAAAAATCGCTGGAGGAAATAACACCACAGCGGGGTCTCTTATATGCCAATCAACACACTGCAAAGTGAGAAACTAACATTAACCAAAAGACTGATGCTCTCCAATTTCCCAGGACTCTTTGTGTAGATGGTTTTACCCTTGAGAGGAGATAATGGTTAATGTGTAGGTTCAATTATACTCTCTCACTGGGATTGTGCTTTAGCTCTGAATGCACGTAGTTTGGGGGGATTTTTTTAGACAGTAAACCTGCCAATATATTACTGTTGGCTATGTGCTTTGTTTCGCTCAATAAACAGATGAGCTTCTTGTTTTCAGCTTGGTGTCTTTTTATTAACTGTAAAAGGCTGTGGTGTAAATTACCACGCAGGGTCAAGTTTCAGAATACTCTCCCCTCTGTGTCGGCATGAAGAGAGAGGAGGAGGCTCTCGGAGAGGCTGCTCCTAATGAAATCCCCTCCTGATAGTTGTGTAAATATTTTCATCCTCTCCCTCAGCCTGCTGATGAACCTGTTCCACTCACTTTCCTAATTAATCATTTTGGAGTGGATAAAGGCTGGAATGGGAGTAACTGGACAAATGGACACATGGCTGTTTTTGGATACAGTCCATATCTACATGTTGGATGTGGACACGGGCAACAACGTTATTGCCCGTTCGCTGCTGGTGGTGGGCGATGTATGGGAAGCGATGGTTAATCTGGAAAAAAAGAGATTTCAAACTTAAAGAATTTCACTTTCTTTCTTTCTTGAACGTATTATTTGATAATATTCCGGAGGCCCAGTTGTTAGAGGTTGCCAGATTGAATCTCGGCCGGAGACCTTTCTGGATAGAGATTCCATGTTCTCTTTGTGCATGTGTGGGTTTTCTCCAGGCACTCCTGCTTCCTCCCACARATAAAAACATGATTGTTAAGCTAATTAGTAACTCTAAATTGTCCCCAAGTGTGGGTGAGAACGTGAATGGTTATTTGTCTCTATGTGTCCCTGTGATGGACTTTGCGACCGGTCCAGGGTGTACCCTGTCCCTCGCACAGTTACTGCTGGACGTGGGCACCAGGCACGTTCATGGGGGTCCCGTGACCATGGAATGAGGAAGTAGATAAAAAAATAATGGATGGATAACAGATTTTCTGAGGGCTGATGAAACATGGATCACTTTACAAAAACRTAACTGAAATAACTATTTCATAACAAACTATTTATAAAATTGTCAAGAAACTTCTTGATGACAAGCAAACCATCTGTGTGCGTGTAAAATATCCAAATCCCCCTCCTCCATGTGAGTCATTCGGTTTAGTTCTTCATGCAGTCACAGAGCATGCAAATGTTGTTTTCTTTCTATTTTTTCTAATCGCACCATGAGCCACAAAAACCTCTTAAAGACCAGGATCTGGAGTAATTCTCTGTCATGAAACGAAGCTGCTTTCTTTAACAAAGACTCATATGTGTCAGGAGGTCTGCTGAACTGAGACGAATGTTACAAGACAGAAACACGTATTGACTTTTTTTTATTTTATTTTGCAAACTTCCCCCACAAAACATGACATATAATTGAAATAATATGCTCACTTTGCTGTGGATATTTTCCCTTGGGGTCATCCCCACATGCACGCATACAATCTGTTTTTTGACAGGTGAGAATCTGTTGTGTGTTGTGTGACTTAAATCTCTGTGAGATCCAGGTAATGCGAAAATCATTCCCTTCTGACGGCCGTAATTCTGAATAATGAAGTAAAGTTTTCACACAAGTCTCCTGGTATTTGCTTGGCAGAAGACAAACCCGCTGATGGATTCCATGTGGGTTTTTTTTAATGAAAAACACTTATTATTTTCATACTTTACGGCCTCATCTGTGTTTTGTCTGCCTTTAAATGGAATTGATTACCTTGTCAATGGGATCTATTTGTCGTATTAAAAAAAAGAACCAACTCTTTGCGGGTTTTACGTATTTCGGAGTGCAAAACCCTGAGTTTAATAATAATAATAATAATAATAATAATAATAATAATAATAATAATAATAATAATAATAATAATAATAATGGGGATGAACATGTATATATCTAAGTGCATGTTAAACTGATGTGACAGTTAGCATGTCCTCAAAAAACCTGTCCATCATGTTTATTTAATCACTCCTGATGGGTTTTGGGAGATACAGACAGATACTGGCCTCTTAGCTAGCACACTGCAAATCAGGTTAGCCCTTACACCGAATGTGGTCRAGGCCTGCAAATCTGCCCCAGATCCATTTCCCCTGGCTGCATTACCCACTTCTAACAAAGTTACTGCACACTTCTCATTTTTCATTAGATTAAAAGGGCCATAAAGTTTTGGACATGTGACACTGTGGTGCATCAATGCCCAAGTGCACCTGGTTTGATTATTGCACACGCACGCACACACGCGCCTTTTTTTGTCTTGTTATCTTGCCTTCACACAAAGCTTCTCAGGTTTTTCCTAATATCTCCGTTCGTTTTGTCGCCGACCTCCGTCCTGCCAGCCGCCGCTCATTAGCCTTTCGTCTCTACTGTCTGTTTAATAAGATTAGAAAAAGAACATAAACATTAACCGCGATCGTCTCATGAGTCAGACCCATTACAAGCTGTAACAAGACGGACGATAAAGAGCGAGRCCGCTGATAATTGTGCAAATAATTTTTTTTCCGTATTGTTTTTGTCCTGGCATTGTGGGCAAAGTGCGCTTATTAAACACTCAATCTCAAGAGCAAAAAAGAACATGTTGCATTTTGTAGTGTGCATGACGTAATGATTTACTTTTTTATTATTTTTAACAGTCCCTGCTCCAGATAGGATGGGCAGCCAACGATGTTATTCCTTGGCACGCATTTGTCAGCTGGATCAAATCTGTCATTTTTTAAATTCCACTTTCCCAAACAACTGGTCTCAAAACAACATAAAATCAGCATCCATGGTGCCAAGTTTTGTAGAAACTATTCGGTGTTCAGCATTTTTGGCTTCAGATGATTCTCTTTTTACCTACTAGTCAGTCATTTCGAATGTTTGTTGGAGAAATACTTCGTAAAGCATTCAGGGAGCTTGAACATACACTGCGTCTGCATTTTCTATAGCAGGAAAAGAAATAGGTTCCTTTCATTTATAGGTGCTAGCTGTTATGTTTCCTGTAATAAGTCATTTTCTTTTGTGTGCATCTGTTTCAAATTATGTCTACAATGTGTTCAACTCCCCTGGGAAGGTTGATTTGAGGAAACTCTCACTGACAACATTTCGGCGACATTCAAGAGACATTACTTTCATTTTTGTAATCAAAAAGCACAAAGACGTTCCTATAATTTAGTCAAGCATTTGTGAACACTCAGGAGAATCATGCCGTGGTCAGTGATCTGCGAAGTTCAGTATAAATCTCACAGAATGTTTCCCACGTGTGTTTCTTTAGCAGATTGCGCAACAGGGTCTGTTCGAAGGAAATGTGCAGTTTGGAGATGTCTTCCAATGTTTCAAAATAGATTTCAAAAACTGTGTGTTCTTTTCCAATGTTGTGGTTTAGGGAAAATAAAAGGTCAATTCTTCGGCACATCTAGCCAGTCTTGTACTATCATGTTTGACATTGTGTTCCTWTTAAAGCAGTGAGATTTACATCTCTTTTGGCACATTTAAAAGCACAACAATAATTGGGTGTCAAACTGATTCTGCATAAGACACTGCCATGTAAACAACATTCTATGATAATTATTATGCAAATGAAAATTWAATTTTACTATCAGACCAGAAGATGTTTGTTCTTACAAGAAGCTAACCAGTGTTGTGTCTGATATTCCAAACTATTAATATTCTGAGCCTCATCTAGTCCAGGTTAGATAATGATGACTAATAAAAACATCACAAAATGCCAAGAAAAAAGTCTTTATTGTCTTAAAAACACAATAGGTCTTAAAGGTCTTAACACTACAAGTCATAGTTATATTAGAGAAGTCTGTTGATGGTATTAAAGGCATAGGCTTTTTCTTTTGCCTATTAAGATGTACGAAAATGTTTGGGCAGCCTTGTTAATTTTCCTGATTTACCTTTATAAATCATTGATTGTTTGGATAAAAACATCAGTAAAATATATCATAAAGGGGACAAACACAGTGATATTTGAGAAGTGAAATGAAGTTTATATGATTTGCAGAAAGTGTGCAATAATTGGTTAAACAAAATAAGKCAGGTGCATAAATTTGGGCACCGTTGCCTTTTTATTGATTTCAAAACCTTTTGAACTAATTACTGGACCTCAAATTTGGTTTGTTCAGTGACCCTTGACCTCCATACACAGGTGACTCCAATTATGAGAAAGGGTATTTAAGGGGGGCAATTGTAGGTTTTTCTCCTCTTTGCATCTTCTTTGAAGAGTCACAGCATGGGAGTCTGAAAACAAAGATTGTTCACCGTCATGGTTTAGAGGAAGGATACAGAAAGCTATCTCAGAG